CAGCCAGTGCACTCTCTGCTTAACTGGCTTGTTCCGACTGATGAAGCTGCTGGGAGGAGCAGCAAAACGTTTCAAACTAACAACAACAATTAGTCCAGTTGCAATGACTCAACCTTCAGACCCTCCCCTTGTGCTGCTTTCCACCTGAAGTAACGCGGACCCCGTTCCTCTTTTGCAGATCTCCTTAAAAGAAAACAAGGAGAACAGCCCCCCGGCGGCCCCCGAAAAGCAACCTCCCCATGGAGGGGAGGCCTCGAAGAAAGCCCAGCCTTTTACCGCCTGCTGCCCCTTGAATCTTGACGCAGAGAATTCACCGACAGAGACTAACGTCCTCTCCCTGGTCAGCGCCAACACGCCGGATTCTCCTCCGGGATCCGAACGAGACCTGGCCATGGCCAAACGGGTGCGCCGGTCTTACAGCCGCCTGGACGTCTCCTTGTCCCAGAGCTTCACCGAAAAGCAGGAGTTTCCTCCCTTCAGCCTCGCTGGCACCTCCACGCCCGCCGGTGGTCCCGGCAAGCGGCAAACCCTCTTTGGTTTTGAAAAGCTGCTGCTTGAGCCCTCCGCTCTGCATACCAGCAGCGCCCCCAAGACGGCAGCTGCAGAAAGTGGGGCCTTCGGGAATCCGGACACCGACATCCCCGGCATCTCGTTTGGCAGAGAAAAGCGGAGGAGGAAGAAGATGCCTCAGTTTGGTGTGAGTGGGACTTTGGGCGCTGGGGGTAGCCAGGCTGTGGCTGTAGATTTTGGGCAGGTGGTCCTCGACTTAACGACAGTTTGCTTAGGACCATTTTTCACACCGTTGCAGCATCCCCGGGATCACGTGGTTTACATTTGGACGCTTGGCAACTGACTCGCGTTTTTATGACGCCTGCAGCGTCCCCAGGTCACGTGATTCCCCTTCTGCGACCCTCAGACAAAGTCAAGGGGGAAGCCAGATTCACTTAACAACCGGGTTACTCATCTCACAACTGCAGTGATTCGCTTAGCAACTCTGGCAAGAAAAGTCGTAAAATGGGGCAAGACTCACTTAACAAATTCCTCCCTTAGCGACATAAATTTGGGGCTCGATTGTGGTGGTAAGCTGAGGACTACCCGTATGAAACTATGGTCTGCTCAATGCCATTGACCTGAGTTGTGCATGCAATGTACTAAGGCGGGTGTAGGACAGTTTGCCGTGGCCATCCCTTACACTAATATCCAAGAGCAGGGGGTTGGACTAGATGACCTCCAAGGTCCCTTCCAACTTTATTATTATTATTAATTATTATTAATTATTATTAATTATTATTGTTATAAATGGTGGAATGGAATCATTAAAGAAAAGATGCAAAATTAGGGACAGAATGAAATGTGAGTGGTAAATATTAAAATGATTTGTTATTTGTTTTAAGTAATTGTTAAATTCTCCTGTGGTGAGTGCCACTCTCCCCAGGCATCAAGGCAACAGCTGTTGTTTGCGTGGCAGAGCAAGTAACGGATGGCATCAGGACTTATTTTTTTTATTTAGTGTATGGCATCTCATACATGACTAGCAATATCTATTAACATTTCACCTAGATTAGTAAAGCACAATAAAAGGCAAATTTTATTTATGCTTTATATAAATTACTTTGTATCGGGACTATATGAAAATGTAAGCATTATTTGTATCAGGACTAAAGCTTGTATATACATGTAGTCCTCGACTTGCAGCCCTTCGTTTAGTGACCGAAGTTACAGCGGCAGTGAAAAAAGGATTGAGGACCATTTTCTACACTTAACGACCATTGAGGCACCCCCTTCGGTCACGTGATCAAAATTCAGCCGCTTGGCAACTGGTTGCAAGGTCCCTGGGTCACGTGATCCCCTTTTGTGACAGGCAAAGTCAATGGGGGAAGCCAGATTCGCTTAACAACCATGTTTTACTAACTGAACAACTGCAGGGATTCACTTAACAACTGTGCCCAAGATAGGTTGTAAAATGGGGCAAAACTCACTTGACCACTGTCTGGCTCAGCAACGGAAATTTTCGGCTCAGTTGTGGCCGTAAGTTGAGGATTCCCCGTATAAAGATCTGTGGAGGAATTTATTTATTTATTTATTAAATTTTTATTTTTTTTTAAACCAACAAAACAAGACAACAAAACATAACACACATACACACACAGTGTGTGCTCCTCCTTTTTTTTTTAACAGCAATTTCGTAACGGTAATCTATTATTTACATTTTCCCCCCTTATTCTTCTTTAGATATATTTGTCCTTGTTGTCCCGTTGTTTCTTGTTTGCATTTTTCTTCCTTCATACTATACTTCATACTAACAATAATACATATTATTATTACTATACATTATTACACACACATTTTCCACTTTATACAATTTATACAAATACCTATTGAGATATAAAATGGAAGACGAGGTTGTCAAAGACACAGTGATTAGATGGGCAAAAAAAATCAGATATAATATAGAATTGGAGAAATGGGAAAAAATATGGGAAATAAACATAAAATTGACTATGTCAGCGGCATTCTGTGGAGGAATTTACTCAAGAGGTCCTGCAAGGGTCTGATTGCCTTGGTGGAGAACATTAGCGCAGTCTTCTTCTTATCTTGTAGTGTTGGGGGGGGGCTTGATTGTCCAAGCAGGAGCATCTTATCCAAATTAAAGACATTTTATTCCCTTTATAGAAATCAGAGATGGACGAATGGGCCGCCCAGATGAACGCTGAGTTTGAAGAAGCCGAGAAGTTTGACCTCCTTGTGGAGTGAAAATGCATCTGCTCAGCACGTCTTCGATGGCCAGAATGTTGCTTGTACATAAATCTGAAACCCGCCCTGGAGGACGCTTAAGCTTTCTTGGCGTAAAGCTCTAAATCTTCTTACTACAGGCTTAACTCGGTGACAAAAGGCAGCTACCACTTCTCTTCATGCCCCTACCCCTCCAAAACAAAAGATACTATATTGTTCTATGGGCTTGTGAGGACTAATTTTTTTTTTCTTGTCTGTCACCTGAAAAAATATGTTCAGAAGGATCACAGTTCTACCCAGCATCACAATTTTGGTAAATGGCTTGGCTGCCCTTGGAAACAGCTTGTTTAGTTTCCTCCCGCCTCCCCCCGCAGAAAATAGGCAAGATGTTAAGGTGATGTGCATCCTAGTCTGTTTCGCTCAGTAGTTTGTTTGTTTTTTAATTATTTTTCTTCTGCGTTTGCCTTCTGCACAGTCATCTTTGCTTAAATGGAGCGGGGGACCTGGTTTGCTCCTCTGTTTTTTAGGGGGGAGTTAATGGGGTGCTTGTGCAGGCTGGTTTTAAGGAAGAGCCCCTTTCTTAAGCTTCCTGGCTGTCTCTCTTCAAGGACTCCTTGCAATGGCAGAGCTTTTGAAGTTTGGTTTGTCTGTTGTTAGCCTGCTGACGTTTCACTGTGGAGCCCTGTTAGAATAATTATGAGAAAATTAAAAAGACTTTCCTTCAGTTTTCCTGTTGTCTTTTATCTATTCATAGATCCCAAGTATGCTTTTTCAGGAGGCAACTGGACTTTCTTGTTTTTTCTGAGTCCTCAGGGTCACCCGAGTAGTGCAAACGGTCACTACTCAAGTGACCCAAAGGACACAGATAAACCTCCAAGTGGCCTCAACGACTCTTAAACCTGGCCATTTGAAAATGTATGGACTTCAGTTCCCAGAATCCCTCAGCCATCCAGGAATTCTGGGAGTTGAAGTCTTCCCATTTTCAAGCCACTAAGATTGAGAAACCCTGGTGCAGAGTATTTAGTATTACTTCTTCTAGCAAGAGGTACTTAAATTCATTTAAAAATGGGGACAGTGTTAGAAATTGAATGTGCCAGTCAGATACTGATCTTTTAACTTGGAAAGAGCTGCTGATCCTTTTGGATGGAGAAGACTTTTTGGCTGCAGTCTGAGTCAGTTTTATCCTACTGGTTAATATCTGGCCATAAAGTTGTTTGTTTCATAAAGGAATTGGGAGAGATTTAGACACAAAAAAAGTCCTGTTGATGGTAACAGTTTGGTAACAAAACGTTCAGGAATTGTATTAAAACAAGCTTGGAGAACAAACCACAGCCAAAATCTAAAATCCAAGCTACAAATATTTCCTATTATTACAAAGTTATATGGGTGTAAACTTACTGAGACCTGATTTTCCACCAAAGGAGCAGTTAACAAACATATTGATTTAGATCCATCACATCAATATGTAAGAAACCAGACCATTTGAAGTGCCAATCAACAAAAGAACCAATCAGCTGCTCGGAATTCAAATATAGCTCCAAACAACCAATCGCACGACCAACTGACCACATTGGCACACAAGACATTTATGAGCGAAGGAGAATAGGACAGGAAAATCCTGCTGATAAAGTTACCTAGTTTGGTAACAAAACAATTAGAAATTATATTAAAACAAGCTATTCTATTCTATTCTATTCTATTCTATTCTATTCTATTCTATTCTGGTTTATTGCCAGCTTATGCTCTCTATAAGAATCTGAACTACTAACTGTCAAAAGAAATCGGCAAATAAGAGTCAATGGAATTCAAGATGGGCTGGACTTGGATCTCTTGTGGACATGAAGGGACTCCAGGCTGATGACATGCTTGACCCCTCTCTCTCTCCCTCAGGCTCAGCATGGTCATCTCCTACATCTGGAGGCTAAAGCGTACAATGAACGATTGAGGGAACTAGGTTATGTTTAACCTAAGAAAGAAAAGAATTTGGGGTGACGGGATAGCTGTCTTCCAATCCTTGAAGTCACAAACAAGAGAGGGTTGACCTGTTTTCCAAAGCACTTGAGGGCAGGATAAGAATTAATGGATGGAAACTTATCAAAAGACAGATCCAACCTAGAATTAAGGAGAAATTTCTGACGTTCAGAACGGCTGACACTGGAATGGTTTCCTTCCAGAAGCTGTGGGCGCTCCATCACTGGAGATTTTTAAGAGACTGGAATGGTATAAGGTTCAGAATGGTCTAGGGCAGAGGTCCCCAACCTTTTGGGCACCGGGGACCGGTTCTGTGGGGAGAGGTTTTTCCACAGACCGGAGGGGGGCATGGTTTTGTGTGCTGCCTGCATCCTGTGGATGGGGCTTTCCTTGTTTGTGCAGACTGGTTGCTGGCATGCCGCGGCCTGGTACCAGTCCATGGACCGGGGGTTGGGGACCCCTGGTCTAGGGTCTCTTGCTTGGGCAGGGGGTTGGACTAGAAGAGCTCCAAGGTGCTTTCCATCCCTAGGGTTCTAGATCTGCTGGCTATTGGTGTGTCAACAAGGCGCTGGGTAAAGTCATTCTGCAGCTGAAAAAAACCTTCAATTTCTTCTTGGCAAAAGCACAAAAGAATCTCCAGACTTACATAGGAGAGTCTGCAAACATCCCTCTTTAGTGAGGCCATTAAAATGCTTCCCATCCTCCGATTCGCACTTGCAAAGTTGCCAGGATCTTCCAAAGGTGAATGCCGTAGAAGTAAAACCACTGAAGAACAAAACCATCCTGTTCAACCCAAAAGGGAAGAATAGGTTTATTTTATTCATTTAGCCCATTTATAGGGACCCCCAGCGCAGACAGTGTACCAGAAAGTGTTGAAAAAACAAAACAAAAGGAAAACAACACTATTGACACCAATTAAATGAAAACTGGAATTAGCCACATCTTAACAATTGGGAACTCTTAGCTGCCTTACTCCAGGACCCGAGATCATCTGAACGAAGCTTGAGAATTGCATATTTATTTAATCATCCAATTACTTTTAAGTATGTCCATCAGAACAACAGCATCTGTCTATCAGCTTCCTAATGGTCCAAATTGGGGGATAAAGGAAATTTGCCTTTGTGGGTGCGCCATGACTGGAGACTTTTAAGAGACTGGACAGCCATTTGTCTGAAATGTTATCGGTCAGTGGTGGCGAACCTAGGGCACGGGTGCCAGAGGCGGCACTCAGAGCCCTCTCTGTGGGCACGCGCGCCGTCGCCCCAGTCCTAGGCCTTCAGCTGGGTTTTATAAAACCTTTTCGCTTTAGGCCTCCGCCGCCGTGTGCAAAAAAAAAAAAAGGTTCAATCAATCAGTCAATTTCAACTTCTCGCGGGGAAAAAAAAGATCTTGCAAAGTTGGAATTGTTTGATTGAACTTTTTAGTCCCACCCAGTCTGCCGTTACCACCGCAGCCACACCCACTCAATGGGCCACGCCCACCCAATGGGCCACACCCAGCCAATGGGCTACACCCACCCAGCACCCAATGATGCATAAGTGGGTTTTGGGTTGCAGTTTGGGCACTCGGTCTCTAAAAGGTTCGCCATCACTGTTATAGGGTCTCCTGCTTGAGCAGGGGGCTGGACTAGAACAGAGTTCCCCGACATTTTTGGCTTTGTGGATGGCTGGGGGGGGAGAGGGGATGGTTCTGTGGGAGCGGCCGGCAAAGTAGCATGCGTGCGCAGCTCCACTTGTACGAGTGTACGCACACCTGCCACTCACTTAAATGGAGCGCGTGCGCACACTCTCGCGTGCTGCTTCCACAAGTGCACGCACATTTGCTGGCCACTTCTGTGGCTCGGTTGCAAACCCCTCATGGCCCATTAGTGGGCTGTGGACCACAGGTTGGGGACACCTGGACTAGAAGACCTCCAAAGTCCGTTCCAACTCTGTTCTTCTGTTAGATCAGGGGTGGACACTTATGGCAACTTGACGACCTGTGGACTTCAACTCCCAGAATTCCTGAGCCATGCTCAGGAATTCTGGGAGTTGAAGTCCAGAGGTCGTGAAGTTGCCCTAGTTGCCCAACCCTGCTCCAAATGGACCTCCTTAAGAGAGGGTACCCTTAACACATGTGTTATGATCTAATCTATAATATAAAATAGGAGGAGGAAGGTGTGTTGGATTCGTTTGCTGCCTTGAGTTATTTGTAAAATAATAAAGGGATATAAATAGTGAATGGATAGATAGATGATAGATAGATAGATAGATAGATAGATAGATAGATAGATAGATAGATAGATAGATAGATAGATAGATAGATAGATAGATCTCTGCAACATGTGAATATACTTCAGTGAAATACAGGTAGTCCTCAACTTACCACCACAACTGAGCCCAACATTTCTGTTGCTAAGTGAAATATTTGTTAAATTCATATGTTAAGCGAATCACTGCAGTTGGTAAGTTAGTAATACAGTTGTTAAGTGAATCTGGCTTCCTCCATTGACTTTGCTTGTCAGAAGGACGCAAAAGGGGATCACGTGACCCCGGGATACTGCAACCGTCGTAAATGTGAGTCAGTTGCCAAGCACCCATATGTAGATTACGTGACCATGGGGATGCCGCAAGGGTCATAAGTGTGAAAAATGATCTTAAGTCTCTTTTTTCAGTGCCATTGTAACTTCGAACGGTCACTAAATGAACTGTTGTAAGTCAAGGACTGCCTGTGTCCAAGAAATTCTCTTGAAAGAATTTGCTACCCTTATCCAACCAATCCATTTTGCTGTTGCTTTACAGGACCGCAAAAATCGTATTATTTTTTTTTTTTGCATCTGGCTGCTGGGTCACCTTTCCCACCCTCTAAAGTCCGACAATGTCCTTGAGGGCAGGGACAAAGACCGGGCGGTTGATCTTGGGCAGGGGGCACCGCTTGGGGTCTTCCATGTCTCAGAACTGAAATTCTCTTAGCCTGTAAGGGCTCGGGGAGGGGGTAGAAGGGCGTGAGACCCTCGCAGAATTTCCAGCCGAGTTTATTGAAGGCTGCACCCAATTCCCTTTTGTACGTCCGGTAACTATGGTTTAAAAATAATCTAATCACTGGATTGATTTTTCCCCCATGCGGCACCATGGGTCAATATACAATTTTAATTGTTAAATACTTGCTTTGAAACACAAGCAAAAGCGCTCCCAGGGATATGCGTTTATGTAACTGTCCAGATGTGGCTTTTACACACCCAGTGTGAATTGCAAGCAAAGACTTGAATTGCAAAGGGGATGGATGGATGGATGGATGGATGGATGGATGGATGAATGGATGGATGGCGAGATGGATGATAGAGTGGGACGAGAGAGAAATTCTAGATAACAGAGCAGTCTTTCTCAACCTGAG